TTTTGGGACAATTTCAACGCTTCTGGAAGAGTTGCTCTGAAAAGTACATACTGTCAGTATTATTAGACGGCTTATTAAAGAAAAGGTGTACATTTGCAAATTCCTAATTTATAACATACTGTTCCATTTTTATATTATTGGTATATATTTTCAATTTATATAGGTATATAAATATTCCATTTATGTATAAGGTGTATATTTTCAGTTGAATATAACATTAACACTATCATGTAAGCTGCACATAACAAAATGATCCTGAGGAGTGAGAACACTGACGAAGAACATTTTCTTTCTGAGTGTTTCATACCCCGCTCCGCATGCTGTAAACAGTGGCGTCAGGGCGATGTAATTTGGAGCGACCTGTGTCATTCATCGCCTGGGTGCAAGGAGCCTCCTCACTGGCGTCACATGTAGCTGACATCATTACGAAACGGATTTCTCTGATTTTGCATATTTTATCTTGCTTCAGGGCATTGCTATTAGTGTAATTTCTTGACATTTGGTTAGAATTAAATGCTATGTACATTAACATGTTAGTGCATATGAGAGCGTAGGCTTCCGCGGCCGGAGTCAGTATTTACAAGGCTGTCCGGTAGAGGAGAAACTAAGCCCCATTTAAACTCGTGCGCAGCACATCTCCGCGCATTACGCCCCGAGGAAGGTCGCAGAATGGCGACCGAAATGTCGGCACCTTCGCCATGGACGCGGCGTCACCCGGACAGCCTAGTAAATACGTTAGTGCGTATTTGGCCGATTTTTCCTGTTGGTGCATATTCGTTTAATTATAGGCGCATATTTCGTTAAAATAGATGCTTATCTCTAAAACGTTACATCTCTTCATAAAATCTATTTCTGAGCGTTAAAAAATAAAGTGAAATGTAAGATGAAAATACGTCGGACGTTATGAAGATACAACGCGTCTCCAAGCCCCAGGGGGGAGGGGGCGTTGAGCGCTTTGCACTTTCGGAGTAATTCTCATTAAAATGATATGAGCGCGGGAGTAATCCTCCATTAATTCATTTCATATTTGTCACGTCTCGTCTTAGTCAGTTGTCAAGAGGACCACCAGATAGCATCTCCTCGTACACGCCTCCTACTACGCGCCCCTGCGTCACTACTCAGCGGCCAGAATTGAAAAGGAATTAGGATTGGGGTATGGTTGAGGACACTTTACAGGGATTGGACTGGCTCTGTGAAGCATGCACACTTGTTTTGTCGTTTAAAAAAAAAACTTTCGATTCTACGCGAACCCGGAAGCTCAGTGATGAAAGGCAAGTGACTTCGCCATTGAGTCACGAGAGCATTTCAGCGTGTTACTATTCTGTTTTTGTCTATTCTATAGAAGAGCGAGTTTAGGATTTTTCTTGATATATTTTTTCAACCAGTTAGACGAATGCAACTAGATTTAATGTATTTCAGTAAGATGAATATTTACTTCAAATATTTCTCCCGAAACGTAAGGTAGATTATTCTATGTTTGTTCAAACATATATTGTTTCATTCCAGGCATGCTTAAATTTTATCGTTTACATAGACAATGAAATATTGTTCATTTTAATTGCCTATTAAAGATCATTTTTACAATATTTTACCGGTTGAGGTGGCTCGGGGCATCAACAATTGTCACTGCAGGGCCTCTGATCGGAGGTCCTAGGTTCGAGTCCCTACGTTGGCTGAATTTTCGACACTAACTTGTCAGCTAGCTCGAGTTCAGTCTGGAGGCGTATTTCAGCGTCCGGCTGCTGTGGTCGGTGGTTTCTCCGATTAACCCCAGGCGAATGCCGGGGCAGTACTCTAACAAACGGGCCGCGGGCGATCTTTCCTTTCTCACACTGGACCTACTCTCACCCCTTCCTTACGTGAACCACACACGCCGCGCGGCCGGTCGGGAGCTTAGAGCTTGTCCCGGTTGGGATGGCGCCCCGCTGGTGGGAGATACCTGTTTGAGGGAAAACCCGGTAGGCGACGTAGGTCGGCGCTGGAAATCGTCATCCAGCGGGGAAGGATCGCCGCCACCTCCCGACGAAAACATGCACTATACTTAAGGGACCAATGACCTTAGCCGTTGACCCGCCCGGAATCACTAACAATTTGTCAATCAGTTGGAATGTTTAGGTCATAATTACAAATTTTTAAAAGTACATTTCAAGATTTTTGAAGTCATAAAAATTATCTATGTATCGCTTTGCGAATCCCTGTGAACGCTTTCTTGGCGATGGCGGTTTCGGACGAATCAACGGTTGACGGGTGAAGAAGAGCGTAGGACCGTCTTCAGCTAACTTGTGGCTCAGAGCGAAAGTCGCTTGCTTTTCACCAAGGAGACACGGGTTTGATTCCCGGACTATCTCATGTGATATTTGTTCCGGCAAAACGTGCTTGGCTGCTTCTCGGGGGCTAGTTCAACCCCCTGTGAAGTGTTTTAAACTCACTGTCCTAATTCCTTACCAATTCTGGCCGCCGGGCAGGGACGTAGGAGCTCTCAAGAGAGAGGCGGATACGCGGGGATATTATCTGACTAATGTGCTAATATCCGAATCTTCATTTAGCGGTTGAAAATATTCCAAGACGTGATATCATTATTCAATGCTTCACAATTGTAATTGTGGGAAGACGCCGATTTTTTTTTTAAATGTTCGACAAATCAGGCATTTTAACAAACTTTAGATCGTGGTTTAAATTTAATCAAAACATTGTGTGCCGTTTTTTAAGAAAATAATGTTTCAAAGACAATAAAAATTGCCTATGTATGATTTCCTGCGATTTCCATTTTAGATGCCACGAGCTCGCATTGTCATGAGAGGCGAAGTGCAGAAATCTTAATAAAAACGTTTTGAACGCCTTCAAGTTTCGATTCAGGGTGTACCAGACACTGGATGCAGTTGTAACATGAAGTAAAAACGACGAAATTCATAAAGAGAGGTTTCATTTCGTTTGGACAGAGGTAACTGTGACAATTTCTTCAATATTCATTAATTCTTTCTCCAAGTAACAGTCTTTGTCAATTGTGTGTCGTCTCTTTTCCAGAACACTCTTGTCTGACAAAAAAACTATTCATAGAAGAGGCGATGTTTCGTTGCAGCTTCTAATTGCTCTCCCAACTTTTTCTTCGAGAATTTCGCCGCCTGAACAGCTACTAACTTCGACTTTTAAAAGAAAAATAATTTATGGTAGCCTAAATCTTGGGAAATACACCCCGAGTTATAATAAACATTACATCGCTGATGTTTTGAAATCATTGCACGTCAAATTGCACGGTGATCCCAAAGTTTCTGCTGTGAAGGGTTTCCAAAGGTTTCCGAAAGGCAGCAAAAATCAGAAATACTTTTCTCTATTTCACTCTAAAAATCGCCCTGTCCCCGGGCAGGGGGGTGGGGTTTGGACTGAGTTGCGACTTCTGTAAGAAAGATATTGACACTAAATATTTTTTGAAATGTAACTATCTACTTTTCTGTGTAGTGAAGTTAAATTTGCTTTAAACCATTAATCACACGAAATATTATTTTTTAAACACTCACTAGTAAAGAGGATCTTTCAGGGCACGCATCGTCCTAAACGTTCAACGCATAGCGTTCTGAAAGCGAGACGACGCGGAAGTGTCCAGTTAAATCCGTGAATGCAACAAAGAAAACAAAATAATTTCGATGTTGCAGCCAAAAGGCGTGTGCTTCGTGGAGTACAAAGTTTGATCCTAAGGTTTCCAGAATCTCCCCACTATTGTCCTTGGGTATGCGGTCAGCTATGTTGCTGATCTCAACATCTCCCAAGCTGATGAGACGAATTGAAGTCCAAACAGTATAGCAAAAGATGACATAGGCGTAAGCCAAAGAATGTGTTTGCCGAAGGGTATCTTACTCAAAACACCGTAACCAGTGGGTCCTAAATGCCACTAAGACATTTTGAGTTTTGGTAGGGTTGCCAAGGTCTTTGAATTAATTTTGACACCAAATCGGAGGTCTGCTACTCCTGACGTAAATGCACAGTGTAAGAAATACACTGTGGCTTAATATATCAAGAAGTGATTTATATAATTGAATTAAAGTAATATGAAAGTCAAAAAGAAAAATAGTTTATGACACACGTGGGAAAAGTGATTTTATTTTGCCCAACCTGTCGGCCTCTTGTCGAAACATTTTCTACTCCCAAAATAAAATGTCACTTTTACCACTCGTGTCATAAATAACTGTTATGAAATTATGGAGTTGATAACAAATGAGTTGCGGGTTCTAAAAGTTTCTATAACTAATCGCAGAAAGGATGTGTTGCAGGTCATAAATCATTGTTCTGCACTCTCTATGCCATTGATTCTCTGCTTGCGACAAACATATTTGCGATTTGTAGACTGCCTTATTTACGTATATCGCGGTTGTGGTTTAGAGGTCACAACGTGTGCAGACATCTTATTCCGCGGCTTTTTCAACAGACGAATGACTGCCACGCCGCGAACTTCAAATCGTGGTATATCGACATATTTTAAAACTCATTCGGTTTTGAATTATTCATCAAAAAACAACTAATGTAGGATTGATAAATTAGTCTGCTGAATCTCTATTTAGTCGCGTAAAATATAGAGTCCCATTAAAGAAAGTGTTAATTTAATTTCTTTAAAATAAAAAATACTTACAAAAACCTAAAAACTACAGCCATTCAGTCCTTATGTCCTGATTCGATTTGATGGAAATCCCATCTCAATATTTCAAACCGTAGAATATATTCAAGGTAAACATTTTTTTTTTTTGACAAATTTTGAATGTGAATACATTTCAAAACATCGGCAAAAGAGAACTAATTGTCTACATTACGTTATTAGAAATGTTGGAACATCATCATGAAAACTGATTTGTGTTTGGAATTCCATTAGTCATGTATTATTTGGATTTTTTTTTACATCTGAAAAATTGTTTGCGATACAGTAGGGAAACAAATTGTTGTTGGCGCTTTCCGTAACTTCGGGCAATGTCGGCAACTTTCGTACACTCAACTGATACTCGAGTGTTTACTACGAAATACCTGCGCATCACCAGCGCATCACTTGCTCAGTTGTCGGTGGTTGTCGGGGATCGCTATGTAACCCAGCTGTGCGATCTCGAGGAGTAGTGTAGAAGGATACGGCGGTACTTTTTCAGTGAACATTTCGACGAGACGTTTTGTGTGTGAAGTTACGTGGCAGTTTTGTTTCACAAAGTGTAAACTAAACGACTCATGAATGAATATCTTCGGCATCCTAAACATGGAGGGGACTCGCTTGATCTCTATCCACAACAAAATCCATCGGCGGAGTGGTCACATCGCCGTATCGTACAAAGGAAACGTAATTGTATGGGGTGGTTACATGGTAAAGAAATGGCATTACATCACTTGTACCTCCACATTCCGCTGGCACAAAATATTGGTATATTTCCTTTTTTTCTAGGAACACGTCCAAGTAACACCAGTGTCACCTATTGTCAGTCAATATCATTTTACCGATGAATATTGGATGTATGACAGTTTTACGGAAGTCTGGTGAGTGGATGTTCGTAGTGTCATCAGTGTATATATTTGCAAATGTGAGCAGATGGTCAATTGTGAATGTACAACTAAAATACTTTATCTCAAAAGGGGCGTTAAAAAAATCTAATGACACAAACTTTCATTGAACGGTTTCGTGTTTCTTGTGTGCGATAGTTGAAAGATTTTCTTCATACATCAATATAAGTAATCCCTAAAGACATATCAGAAATAAAATTATTAGATGAAGATGAATTTACTTGGATGGAAAAAATTGAAGAATCAATTCACCATACTAGCATTGTGCCTATTCTCATTAAAAACTTAAATGTTATTGCACCATAATGTTTAATAAAATGCCATAAAATCTAATCATCACAGAGCAAACTTTACAAAATTGACAATATTTTGTATATGATGACTTTTCAGAACAACAAAAATATAAAGATTACAAAGTAAAGTTTCAGAAAGAGAATTGAACTACTTCACATCAACATATTTACAGTGTCAGCTAGTGTCATCTTTGCAAATGCTAAGAGAAGTGACTGGCAGTTATTTCCAAACAAAATAATTTCCACATTTCTTTACTTGTCATAATTTTTCATATGTTTTTATCATTTGCTGTGCTGTTATCTGTTCAGCCAAGATGTCCATAATAACCATTAAGGAACAATTTTTTGTTATATAAATAACAAGGAAAGTTTAGTTTAGTGATAATGAAGCATTGAATGAGATTACGATAATGAAGAATGAGTCTGTCTTCTTTTATGTTTTGGTTTAGAACAAATGAACATGACTCAAATAATGAATGTCTGCTTGTATAAAAGTGTATATTATTGATTATATTATAGATCTGTTCAGCATTTTTATGTTTTATTTTCTTATAGGAATAGAATGTTAACCAAAGGAGATACGCCTCCTCGGAATTCTGGGTCATGCGGTGTAATTATGGACCATTATTTGTATATATTCGGAGGTTAGTATGACAATTTTTCTTTTAAAACTTACTTTCTTAATATTCAATTTACACTTCAGAAAGAAAACTCCAAGTGTTTTGGTTCACATTCATTAAATAATTTGTTAAAAATAAAATTTATAAACATAACAATTCCAAAATCCAAGCAAAATTGTTTTAGTTTCATTTACAAATAAAAAAACTACATTTTTTTCATGTCTTAAATTAGAGTGAGAGAACATCCACTTTACATGATGTTAGTCATTATTTTCTGAAGATTCCAAATATTGTAGTAAGAGATGTCTTGTGCATTACATGTATCAAACGTCTTTGAGCTTGATGTTTGAGTGACAATACTAACAGAAGTCTCCTAGTGACTCCCAATAGCATCAGCTTATCCAGTGGCATAATCTGTCCTTGTTGCAATCAATTTGGAAAGAATAAATGAGGGGTATTGAGAGGCATGTCAACTAAGCGCTTCTGCCACGCATTTATGGCACACTATTTCAAAATGCGACATAATTAAAAGCAATCTGATATTATTGGTATTGGACTGGAAAATATCAAAAGTATAGGAAAGAAATTTGGTGTAAGCTTTAGATTGGCTGCAAAATATATATTGCAGTGCAAGGGCAGTAAAACTGGCAACACTGTCTGTCGAGGCCCAACTGTTAAGCACAAAGAAGAATTGAACAAGTTTAGTTGGTTTAGTGTAAATGTCAGTATTAAATAAGTCATGGTTAAAATTTAGTTTACGGTACACCCTTACAGAAGCATGGTGGAAGGGCTTAAGCCATAACTACTGTACATGCTCTAATAGAAAGAAATTAAACTTACGGATAGGCTATTTTCATGGTTCGCCCTTCATATGCTTTATCCCAGCCACATTGTATGGCCAATTTACTTTCAAAGGCAAGTTTCTTGCTTCGCTTGCCCGAATCCAAGTCACGGTGAGGCCCAGGCCTTCAGCCCTCACGTTCGTTATAAACATCCATATTTAGAATGAATATCAAATTAAATGAAGTTCTTTGGATTTATGCAGCTTTTCAATAAAACAAAGGAGGACCATATATTGAACTGATGTATGTTGTCTGGTGGTCACCAGGGTACCATGGTGAGGAAGAACCGGGCTCAATGGAAGGCAACAGCAACCAACTGTACCGACTAGACCTGAGTACCAAGACCTGGGCGTGGATACACCCTACTGGCAAACAGCCAGTGCCCTGTGACAAGCTGGTTGGTTGGGAATACAAGGGGAAGTATGTAAATGCTTTACAGTTCAATTAACAAATAAAAGGCTGTGAGTTAAATAATTTAAAAATTTCAAAACCAGTTTATTTAAAAATTTATTATTGAAGATGTTCATTAACATAATGTTTATGGGGTGGAATATTTACTTAAATAATTCAGGAATTTGGATCACAAAAATTTGAAGATGTTTTTAGTAAAACATAAAAAAGAAAAAAAAATTGTATCTACTTTACCTTCAGAATTGGAAAAGTCTAATCTCTCATTTTCACATTCAGACATGTCCAATCCCATAGTTTCTCCCAGTCCAGTCCCATCTGCTAAGTGCAATATCTTACTTTCAGCAGCTGCCAAGTAAAGTCCACTAGTTTAAGCTGGTTTTGAAACTCTGGCCAACAAATGGAGAGCCTTCATAGTTCGTGCAATTGCTGTAGTGACGGAGTCCGATTGTCACACAGGTTATACTTCTTTGGGGGGTTTGGCCCCCCATCTACCAGCCCCTACACCCTGCCCTTTGTGCATATGCTGGACACAACAACACAGTCATCTGGCTGGCCACGTGGCTGGAATAACATGTTGGTTTGCTACAACCCGGTGGGCAACATCTGGGAGTGGCCTAAGACGAAGGGACCTGTGCCGTCGCCCCGCGCTGCACATGCCGCCGACAAGGTATGTGAATGCACAGAACAATGAGAACTCAAGAAACCCTACATATCGTTCATAGGCTGCTGCACTGGCACAACTTAAAAAATATGCATTTTAAGTTCATTAGTTTAACTCATTTTAAAAGATGATGGTGAACAAAAGTGGATAAAATTTTTGTGCCAAAGCTTAATCATAACACTGAAAATATCTTTTTCTTCCGAGTATGCAGTTTTTAACCAGCACTGTACATGCTTCTGCTTATTGCTCTGGTGGTGTCCCATTTCTGTGATCTTGCAGACAGCAGATCCCTAGGGGCATCCCTAGTGTGACCACTCTAGGGCCTGCAATCTTTGGTACAGATTGCATCAAAAGAGAAAAGACGAATCTTTTCTTACCAACAAGACATTCACAAATTTGCTTGTAGTTTCTAAACACTTCAGTTTTTTCAGTTGTAGTGTGGCATAAAGAGCAGTGGATGTCTACCTTCTGGGAATTCAATTTTTGCAAATTTGTTTCGAAAACTTGTGCATGAGCAAATGCAAAAATTTTGTAATTTCTAATCTAAGTATTGAATTTGATAATACAATGACTTTTGCAGTCTTCATGAGTTGTGTTTTCAATTTGGTGCGCGTCTAAATACTCTGTATAATACACAAAGGAAAAATGACGGTTTTGTAGAATTTACAAGTTGGTCGTTGACAAAAAACTATTAATATTTCACTGGTAAGTAGGGAATTGTCCCCCTGTTGGTGTGAGTAAAATGAAAGTGTGGCTGTATGCAGATAAGCTGTGAACAAATCTGCTTGTGCCACCCACAACTCATATCTTGCTGCAATATACTGTGCAGTAGCACCTTAGAAAGTTGGTTTTCGTGTCTCCAGGTTCGCAAGTTATTTTTCTTAGGACTTAATCTATAAATGGGGGTCTTCTATTACATTTGTTGCTTTTTTTGCTCCTCTGGACACCCCCATTCCATAGCACAGAGAGGTCAGAAACGTGCAGAATCAAAGAATCTGTATGAAATTAAATTAATTTTATGATATTCTATGTATTTTTGGAGTAGCACCTTATCAGAACCTCTGAAATTGAAACATTTTGTTTCACAGTTAAAAAATTCTAGGTAGTGTTCATTTCAACTTGCACAGAAGATAATGGTTAGTAACGTCATTCCCAATCCCTAAAATACAAATTAGGGAAAACGAGATGCAGTAATCAATGATATTGAATAATTCATTGGATTTCTTCAGTATTCATTTTTTTATCCATTTTTGTTTGCTTTATATGTTCATTATTATTAGCTATTATAGATCCATTTTTTTTAGTTTTTTAGTTCTCATCTGCTTCTTTTTTCTGACAGCCAACCAAAATTTATTGAGATATTAAAACTTAAAACTAAGTGTTCAAGTTTTAGGTAGTGAAATATCTCACTTGTCAATTCTGTCATCCGTGTTTACATTACAGCTTTCATGAAATAAAATTCTTAAATGAGTGTATCCAATTTTTCTGTGAATAAATTATTCATTAAAAATTAAATTTGATCATTTAGTTTAAACAATTTAGTAAAATATTTATAAAATACTGTCATTTCAGCATATTTTTCAATGGATTTGTATGAGTAAAAGTGTTGTCAGATAATTACCTTACAAACTACTAGAATCTGTAAGGAGTTGAAATTTTCAAGTTGCTGCTTTTTGGGAACATTTCTAATGTCTGAACAGAATGCTAATATTGTGTTTGTTTTTTGTCCACTATTAGGTTGGTGATAAGGTATACATATTTGGGGGCCGGTTTCTGGGTACCAGAACAAATGATCTCCACTGCCTGGACATGGAGACAATGAAGTGGAGTGGCAAGTATGTTCTGTTCTTTGCAATTAATTAATTGGAACCAAATAATACTGTATATCTCTGAAACCAAGATGATACTTTTTCCTAAATATCCCACTGAAAGGCAACCGACCACCTTATCGCCAATGTGTTAAAAGATCACCCAAAAAAGCTTTTGGCATTTGGTTGCTGGTCAGGTATCAATCCTTGCCAAGTGCCTTCAGTGACTAATTGCCAAATGGATACAATCTGCAGAGATATTTCGTGTTCATTACACATTTGCAGACGGCAGAATTAGGAACTACTGTTGGTTTGAAAATGAGCCCAAACACAAATCTGAGAATGCATAGATAGTGCGGATGTCTAACAGCATCTGATGAATTCTGACTCCAGCCCAGACCGTCAGGGGAAAAGTGTTTGCTTTGTTTTTGTAGTTTCAATGATTTCTGTGGAAAAATCAAATCCACTTCGGTATGCAAGAGTGCATTCTGTCAGTAAATTAATTGTAAATAATGTAGTGAACTACTGCTACAAGGAAAAGAGAAAAGGGTTATTAATACCATTAGAATGATCCTATGGAGAGAGCTGCAGTTCAATATACTTAGCCATCAACAATACATGCTATTCACAAAAGGCAGGAAAAGTAGTTATATTTCTCCTTTGCACATATCTATTACACAATAGTTATGTTCTTGCCCACTTCTACTCTGGTGTACTCTGCAATAAGGGTACTGTACCCACTCACCAACATCTGTATTGTAACTAATCGATCAGTATCTATTGTAGACAGCGAGTCTCATTCAGTCTGCATTGACCTCATGTAAACAAATTGCACTGCTCTGTCTGCAAATGTAAAGTGAAGAAGTAATACACATATAAAGTGCTCTGATTGTAAACAGCTTTAAGATGTTTTGGGTAGAAAATGTGCCCATTGGAGATGAAGGCAATATACTCTGGAAAGAAGTGCAAGTTCACAATGACAATGACAATGACAATGGCAGTGCCACCTCAGATTCGGTGTGACATTCCATTGAGGACTTATTGAGATCTGTATCTGGCTTAAAGAAATCTAAATCTGCAAGTTTTCATATGCCTAGAATGTGCCGCATTATTCGTTAATTTATTGTGTAATGGTAGTAGCTGAAGCTGATACACACATCATGCACGTTACAATTTCAACCATTGAGTATATTTCATCATACATATGGGCATTGAAATTTAGAATTAACTTTTATTAGAAATGTTAGTTGATTTAACCATTTGGAAAATGCTCTCTTCTTGTGAGTTCATAAGGTCTAACTTCTTTCAATGAGTTAACTGTTTGGCTAACACATGGTGCTGAGGGAGACAGAAAGTTTTTTTTAAATATATTTTTTTAAGGAATGGGGATCATTTTGGATTTTGAGGCAAATGGTATTGAAAATAAATAACAAATATTTGGAGAATATTATTGAACTTAGACATAAAGCCCTTTCTGTTCCATGCGAATTTGGGTCTGCATCTGCGACTTTTTCACTCAGAAACTTTTCAACCTATTGCCATAAAATTTTACGAGCAGCATGGTGGTAATGTTTTTAGTAAATATGACCAGATTTGCATCTTTTGAATAGTTTTTGTAATAATCCGTATATTTGAAGTAAAAGTCAAAATTTTTACATTGTTTTTTCTGTGCTTTAGTTCCGAAATTCTGAAGTATGAAACTTGCTATCTCGTTTTGATATTTATTATTACTTAATTGACCTCCTACAAAAAGTACAAAGTTGTCATTTGAGTAGTGTCAGAGATAAGGGTACAAATGTGTTATAAATGTCGCTTTTCGAGAAACAGCATGGAAGTTAATCTTACAAAATCAGTCATCTTGTGAAAACAAGTAAACAACACCTGTTTGTTGAGTAAAAAGTCACAGAAGATTAAGTTTTGCAGTACAATCAACATTAAATAATTAACTTTTCTCTATAATTTAGTGAAAAGCAGTAACTACTAGAAGAATTTGTTTAAAATATATTACGTAAGTCAGAAACTTGTAACCAAAGTGATTACCATTTTGACATGCGCAGATGAAGGAAGGAAATAACAAAAAATATGTTAAAAGAGTGCATTTCACAATATCAGTATCATTTTATTCAGAAAACTAAACAATTAGAAAATCTTAAAATCTCCAAAAATGTCAAAAATTCATTTTTGTGATTGAGATCTGTCTCCTTAAGGCTCGAAATGGCTCAACTTTGTAATCTTAGGTTGAGCATGCAATTTGAATAACACTGTGGATTGGACATTCACTATTGGATTGTGCCTCATTCTGATTGCAGCCTGACCAAGCCCTTTGAGCCTGGTCCAGTTGGTCGCTCGTGGCACAGCTTCACTTTTGTGTCTCCCACTCAGGCGGTCCTCTACGGTGGCCTCAACCAGTTTAACTCAGTTCTCAGTGAGTACCCACCGCAGTTGGGGTTACCTATTTTAGCTCTTCTGTGAACACCTGTAAGTTTTGCTTATTATATAGTTTTGTGTAGGAATTTAAGCGAACCTTATTGGTTTCAAATTTTTGTTGTTGTTGTTGCTTAAAGTGAGTAGTTTCTTTCGGTGGTGTAGCAGCTACCATCAGATTTACTGTCTGAGGGTCAGAATTCAAATAATTTGAAATTAAAATGACAGGATGGTAGCTTTAATTACTACTTCAATGCCATCAACACCTCACCAGCCAATATATGTAGGATGTCCAGGGAAGAAACGTCGAAACTTTGCACATAAGCTCTTAAGACAATTTTAAGTATATTTTGATTAATAAACTACTGGGTTATTCCGCTACTACCGGTGCGCCGGTGGTATGGTTAAGCTGCAATAAGCATTCAAAACTTAGTTTCAAAAAATGCTTTCTAGGCAAAAATTTGCATTGCAGAAGCATAGAAACACTTCAGAAACAAATAAATTGTTTATTATTTACAAAATAAATCAATATATTTGTTCAAAAAATTAACCTAGAAAAAAGCAGTTAAATTATGTAAATTGGTGCTTTTTTTTATTTCTGTATTAATTTTTCTTTCTGTACAAATATACTGATTTCTTTTGTAAATAGTATACAATGTAAATGTTTCTGGAGTGCTCCTATGCTTCTGCAATGCAAATTTTTGCATAGGAAGCATTTTTTCAAACTAAGTTTTGAATGCTTATTGCAGCTTAGCCATTTGGAATATCCCAGTACTTTAATAAAAAAAATATACTTAAAATTGTTTTAAGAGCATATTTTCGATGTTCTGAAGCTTCCTCCCCCCACATCCTGTTATATAAGTGTTACTGTACCTGTGTCAAAGGAGGAAACCAGAAGTGAGTTCTTAGCATTTATTGTGGTTGTTGACCAAACAAACCAGTTTTGAAATATGCTCAGCAGTTGTTAAGGGGGGGGGGGGGGAGGTTGGCGCAAAGGATTATTAAGATAATCTTCCATATCATTTCAACCAAGCCTATAAACTTAGGCTTAATATTCTACAATCAAACAAGAATACACTATTTATTGATCATAAAAGCTAATGAATGTGAAATGTTATTGATTCATATGTGCATCACATATATATTTTAAGTAACTAGAGTTTGAATTTGAGCTTTTGATTGGAACCCTCCCTTCACTTGTTCCGTGCATTTTTGCCATAATAATGTATGATTAGTGAAGGTACATCATACATTACCTACTCTTTTGCATCGTACGTCCATGCTTTCAAGGCAAGTATTTGAGAACTTTGGGGATAGTGAGCTCGAAGTTCTTAGTTCATCTCAAGAGATGCATTTTTGTAACACAGTAACTGCCATGAATGCATAAAAATCTTTTTCGTCATATTGAAAGTTGTACTTCTAGTTTGTATCCCCAAAACTTTGAAAAATCTGCTGAAATAGATATAAATATCAGCCTATAAATCCAGATGTGAAAGAGTGTTCATAAATTCATAACAGCTTTTGTTTATGTTAACAGAATAATAATGTTGTTTAAAATAATATTACTAACTGACCAGTGTGTCTAATGTGTGATAATTTTAATAATTAATAATAGTTTTATCAAACTTATATTATTCATAACTTTCACCATTTAGAGCGATTTGAGATGCTGCATAAGTTAGTCTGAAGAAATGTGCAACATTATGTTGGTTCGTCCTCTTGTCCATTGTTGGTTTGTCCTCTTTGGTCCATTGTTGAATTTTATTTTCAATACTTTTAAGTTTCTTTACATTATTGTTTTGCATTTTTGCTCTTGTTTTTGTTCTGCTTAGCTATTGTAATGTACTTTCTTATTTCTTTATCCTTGTACCTTGCATAGTGACAGATATTGCATTCTTTATTTCAAAAATTATTGTTAATTCTCAATTTTATTTTTTTCATTTGCTGCTTTTTATCATGAATTGATTATCAGTCCAATGTCAGTGCTTTTCAGTTTGAATTGCTGAATGGTACATTACCTTACTTTGTTTACTCAATGTTATGATCAAAGTTCATGTGTGGAGAACAAGGTTGTATTGCTTGCACCAGTCTTTAGAGATATCACTACACTGGGTATATGATGAGGGGTCTGCTGCCTGTCATTGCCAAACTCAAGGAAATCCGTAGTCGTTCGGAAAACTTAAAATTTCCTTTGTACAGAGGGTGTACATTTACAACTAGAGAGCATTAAAAAAGTCTCTCCGCAGTGGCTGTCTCCCCACTCCACCATTCTTTATACGGAAACGGCTACATAGCAGGCTTAAGCAGAGCAACTGAGCAATGGCATGCATATGTTATTCTCAGACGTGTGCTCACTGGAAGCAAGCAATAGTTGGAATAAAAATACGCGATTGTATTCTTCGTATGAAGTCGTACATTCAGTTTGACTACATACAAGTTGTTTATTGTGAGTCAGATTGTAACTGTTAGAATGCTGACACTGGGAGAACGTGTATTTTTTGGTGGAACATGTGTTTGGAGTAAATAATAAGTATACGAATGATGTGAAACAAATGTGCGTGGTTGGGAACCGTATAATTCCGTAAAGGCTATGGCTGCCAAGACCACCAGATATCACAACAGATTTCTTTTTCCGGGAAGCAGCTAAAAGAAATGTCTACAAAACTCATCCCAAGGCAACGAGGAATTTAAAGGTTCAATATCTTTCTATGTAATGTCCATATTTCAGGAAACTTTAAAAAGAATTTTTGATAACAAATGTAAAAGGGTAAAGCTTTGCTTTCAAAATTCTGGTCAACATTTTCAATATATGATGTAATAAAATAGTTATGAAAAGTAAAAAAAAAATATAATATTTATTTCAAATGCTTTTTTATTTTTATTTTAGTGTCACTTTTTTCCCCACTGCATTTCATGTTTAACATCACTCTCCTTTGTTGCTGTTGCGAAATGGACTAGGGCGAAGCTGCTGTCAATGATCCAGTCTGTAATGTTGCCGTTTCCGCGTAAAGGACAGTGAAGTGAGGAGATAGCCACTGTGGAGAGACTTTTTGAACACTCTGTATAATACTGTATTAGGGCCTGTAAGTGGAAACATTTGCTTAATTCAGTGTTTCCAAACTGCACCTCGGAATATTGATCAGCCTCCGCCATCACCTGGCTTAAGTTTTCAGAATAGTTTCAAAAGCAAATGGGGCGTGGAGCACAATTCAGTTGTACTTGCTGTACTACATGTGTTGTGGTTCTGTCTTGATCAGGAGATTTTGAATTCCTAGTACTATGTTTTGTGTACAATATCAGCTTTTCTAAGAGCACATGTACTACACACATCTGGAACTCTTCCAAACTTGGCTTTCTCGAAACCTTCACCCTTTCTAGCTAGAAGCTACCTGCCCTGAAGTTGGTCAAGGGAAAAGATGTTCTAATACCTTGGATTCAGATGAATTTTTTTAAAAATTTTCCCTTAGTTCAGGAACATATACTATAATGAGAGTGACTTAGAGGGATCTGTTGGATTCTTGCTATCCCATGAGCTTATAGACCTCTCCCCGTCCCTTTCCCCGTAGCACTAATGACATGGGTATCACCAATAGTGCCTACAATTTATTGTCTCAGACTTAGGAGCTCAGGTCTTTTAACCCTTTAACTGCGCGGGCCTTGTTGACACACGGAAAATGTTTGTGCCTGAACGTCTGTGGACGTGATAGTGCATGCTGTTGGGCTATTGCTGGGAGTCTCTGGACGTGTACAGACGCAGGTCCACTCTCGTGCTTATAATGTGTTTCGCGAGGGCCAGATGATTCCTGAGATGATTTTAGCTGTATCTATGTGTGGTTCAGCACATGGACTTCATATTATTTTCTAATTTGCTGATCTCACATTTCTACGACTTAGTTTAAGGTTTTGCTACAATACGAATGCTTGTTGCCTGGTTCAGTGCCCTCTATTTAGGAACGATTTAAGTTAGTTTCTTAAATTCTGCATGAATCACTAGAGTGAGCTTCTAGAAAGGTTGAGAAGTTGCCTCACAGAATGAAATTTGTGATCACACTGACACTTTCCTATCACTGTTTACTTTTTTTATGCTGCGAAAAACTGGAGTCCTTGAAGTCCCATTTGGTCCTACCTAACTCACATTTTCTTTCATCTTTTGTTACTTGCCTTTTGGTGGTTTAGTTGTTTGAAGTTTTCTCTATGTCAGTATTAGATTATGATTGGATTTGCTCCATAATCTCAAAGTTTCCGTGGCCAGACAGCTCTGAGCTTAGGCCAACCTTGGGGCCCAGTCAGAGCAGCGTCGGTGGCCATAAGTGTTGCGTACAGCTTGTGACTCACTCTTGGCACGCCTGTAGCAATCAAAGGGTTAAACACTTGGCAAGGGCAATACAAGGATTGTGCGCAGGTGACTGCTGGATGCTGGACCTAAACACCCTGCAGTGGACGCAGTGCCACTCGGTGGGAGGGAAGCCACGCGTCTGGCACAAGGCGCAGTACATCCACCGGACCGGGGAGCTGCTCATCATGGGTGGCCACCGCAACAACATTCTGGACCCGGTGGGGCGCAAAGTGAGTCAGCCGTTCTGTTCACGGGGAGATAGGTGGTTTGAGGAAGATGTCGGAAAGTGAAGGGGCAAGGTTTAATAATGATAATAAAAAAAAGTTATTATTGGAAAGCATATTTAGTAATATTTGTTTGTTATTGTTGGCAAATTCCAACAGGTTGTCCCAAATACAAAATTATTTGTATGCAATTTATGTAGCGTTGGCAATTACGTTTATTTCAGTTCGACAATGTCATTTCTCTGTGAATCAATTAATAGAATACATATAATAGAGCTTTACAGCTTTTTTCATTTTTCATTTGTTTATATTTGAGTACATTTTTGTTCTTTTAACAAATTTATGTTTCCTTAAGATTATTTTAATTACCATGCTTTAAAATTATTAGTAAATTATCATGCTTTTGTACTTCTATGGTAGGGGCTCATATTTGTCAAGAGGGTTGATGTTTCACTGGA